TATTCCAAAACACCATGATTTGTTTTTTCATACAAAGGCAGTGCTCTTAATTATAAATACCAATGTGAAATATGTTGTAAACAGAACCATACTGTACTGTACTGGTGTACAGTATTGCAGCCATGCTCTATGGAGAAGGCAACACTCCCGTCGAGCCTGAAGCCCATTTAAACAGCCCCAAGCCTCCTGGAGGAGCCAGCAGGCTCTGATGCCTTGGGAGAACAGAGGCGCAGGCCTCTAGTCTGTAGTTTTTAAAAGCTGAACTGATGAATATTTTATTTTTCAAAATATAGACATGAAAGAGCAAAAGCAATCAAAGTATTAGCATCCCTTTGAACTGACTGGCCTGTTTTAATCCCAAAAGCCAGTCTACAGCATTTAAGTGTTAGCTTCGAATCTGTAAGAAAGAAAGGGACCTCAAAAAGATCTGGTTTACAACTCTAAGCTGATGAGATATAGCAGCCACAATCATCTGACATTGCTGTGAAGTTATTCAGACAGCTAGAGCTGTTAGCCAGGTTGCAATGAAGTCAGTAATGCAGAAAGTAACACAGAAAACAGAGGAGTTTTCCCCATTGAGAATATGGAGTTCATGCTTTTAGTATTCAGAGCTGGATTTAGTTCAAAGAGCTGCTGCCGTCATATTTGCTTTATGATGCTCGTTTTGCTTCCAAACATCACGATGTTGGCTGTTTCTCTCCAACAGTCTAGCAGATGTCATGTCTAGCACATTTAGGCACCTTCAGATAAATGAAATCTCACGTAAGACGGGCTCCAGCGTGGTGCAAATACCTCTCAGATGGTCAGTTGGTTCCATCTAAGCTAAACTCCATCCGAGTTCCTCTACAGAGACTCACCCTGGGTGGACCTTTCCCACTGGTGAATTCTTTTCACTTCACGCAGTGTGTGAAGCACCTGGACAATGATCTAAAAGTAACAATTAATGGTAAGAACTAAAAAGTTCTGCGTTTGCTGACCCAAGGCAGAAGCGCTCTGTGCGGGTTTTCTCTTGGCAAGTATCCGCTAATGAAACAAAGGCTTAAGTGAATCTGTGAAGCTCTGAACATGGTTTCTCCTCCCTTCCAACCTCTAACATTCTGTGATTCTGTGTGATTCTCTTGACTCTTTGCATTATTAGGCAACCCTGCTGGAAATCAGTTCCACGCCCAGCACGTACTGCAAAGCAAAAGTAAGTAATGAAGGAGGGTGGAAGGCACCGGGACTATAGGCTGCAGGAGCTGGCAGGGATCAAGCCCTGCCCTATAAGTAAACTCCATCACCGTCAATGCAGCCGTTTTCCTCCCTCTCCAAAACTCACCTGGCTGTCAGTGCAGCCACAGTGGTTACAGATGCATACACAGCCAGGGAGGAAAAAAAAAAATATATCCCTCCTTTGGCTCTTCTCTCTCTCTTATTAAGGGTTGTCATGGCTTAACCCCAGCTGGCAATTAAGCACCATGATGCTGCTGCTTGTTCACTCAATCCCCTCAGTGGGATGTGGAAGAGAATCAGAAAAAAAAAACCCTCGTGGCTTGAGATAAAGACAGTTTAATAGGACAGCAAAGAAAAGGAAAACAACATTAATGCACAATACAATTGCTCACCACCTGCTGATGAATGCCCAACCAATCCCCAAGCTGTAGTGTCCCCCAGCCCACTTCCCCTTGGTTTATACACTCGGCATGATGTCCTATCGCCTGGAATATCCCTTTGGCCAGTTTGGGTCAGCTGGGTGGGCTGTGTCCCCTCCCAGCTCCTCATGTACCCTCAGAGCAGCACGAGAGGCTGAGGAGTCCTTGACACTGCGTCGTAATAACTACAACATCAGTGTGTTGTCAACATTATTCTCATCCTAAACCCAAAACACAGCACTCTACCAGCTACTAAGAAGAAAGTTAACATTATTGCAGCCAAAACCAGGGCAAGCACTCAGAAAAACGAGCATGTTCCCAAGCTTAATGAGTTACCACATTATCAGCCAAATCTGGGTGATGGTTCTGAGGACACACACAGTCAACAGCAAACCCACGATAAGACACATTAGCTCAAGCCTCAGCAATGAAGGTTTAAACTAATCCATTTAACCTTGAATTCGGAATAGGTAAGGAGCATATGTGCAAATAATTGTTGTGCCTCACCTTACACACGTTAAGCTGCAGCAATACATCTGCTTAGTCTAAGCTCCTTGCTTCCATTTCTGGATGCGCAGTACTGGCACAACAGGGCTGAGATTCTTCTGAGTCCAAATTCAGCATCACAACACAAGAGGGAGGTCACAACAAGGATTAAAAAGTCAGGTTGGTCCATAAGGACAGTGCAGCAATGCTCACTGGGGTCAGAGCACCACAAAAACTTTTCTCAGCAATCCATTTTTCAGCGCCATGTGTAATTAAGACGATGAACTTAAGTCATAAGGACACTCCAGTGAAATGACATCTGCATCAGTGCCTTCCTTCTGACACAGCAAGACATAACAACCCGGAGGGAATTCAGATCTGCAGAAGGCACTCCCAGATTTTGCAGCTGATGACCTCCAGAAGTGCTGCATAAGCCAGCAGAAGTCTCCACCTGTTCATGCATAAATAAGATTAAAAAACTCAAACAGATGGTGACTTAATCCCCAACTCTATCCCCAAATGACATTACGCAAAATGAGGAACACGCTTTCAACCTTTGCTTATACCAGAAAAATCTTCAAGATCGGGCGCCTGTAAAGACAAAGCGCTGCCATTCCAAAGTACTGTACTAATTTGGTGATTTCACTCTATAAAAAGGGAGACATCCAACTTTACTGTTATATATCCAGCTTTACTGGTTATACATCCAACTTTACTTTTCAACAGCGTTGAAAGGGGAATCGAACAACACTTGAACAGGCTGAGGGAAAATGGAAAAATCCTGGCCAATGCCTCAAACAATCCTACTTGAGGAGTGTAGGAACAGCTGTCCATCTCCCCCCAGCTCCCAACCGCTTCAGGTGGTCTCCTCTGAAACCCACAGTGTATTTAACACACGGGGCAACACCCACCAGTCACCATCACTCTGTCGTTCACCCCACCAAAGAGCATTAAAATGTAGAAAAGCTGCTGCTGCTGCTACTCAAGCAGCTTTAAAAATGTGCCTCATGCTAACGATGTCTCTTAAAAGTATGGCACAAGGGTGCCTCTGCTCTCCTGGTTGCTGTTCCCTGAGCACCAGATGAAAGGCACATTTCCTCTCCTTCTCCATTGAAGAGCAAGTCCTACACCAGCCACAGGAATCACCCTCACAGGCTTTGCACAGCAACATAGCCCTTTGGATCTGGGACCAGGGAGAAGGGCCAGGCTCCTCTCGCAGTTTCACAGAGGCAGTCAAAAGAAGGATTCGCTCTGGTGCTTTTACACTGCGGTGGCAGTGAAGGTGCTACCTTGCTGCTCCAAATGGTTTTCCTGATGTGCAGGAGCCTCTGAGAAAGGCCCAGAACATGCAGAAGCCCATCGCTGTCTCAGTCCTGAACCACTCCACCTTCCCTTTCATAGTTAACCTACAGCAACACAAAACTTCACCATTTTAGATCAGTTCAATTTATTTCTACCCTAAGGAACAACTTGCCAACTAAATCCTAGAATGTCAGGGGTTGGAAGGGACCTCTAGATATCATTTAGGCCAGCCCCCCTGCCAGAGCAGGAGCCCCTAGGGCAGCCACACAGGAACGCATCCAGGCGGATTTTGAAAGTTTCCAGAGAAGGAGACTCCACAACCTCTCTGGGCAGCCTGTGCCAGTGCTCCTGTACCGCTCTGCAGTAGGAAATGCTGAAGAGAGCTTTTGCTCTTCAGAAATATACTCTGCCATCTCACATTGTCCTTCTGCCTGAAAGAAACCCACGCAATCACCTCAAGGTTGTTTCAGACCAATTAGAATGTGCTCAGTTCAGAATTTCATCTTCCTACCACTGAATTAAATCAGAAGAATCATATGGTGTTTATTAAGACCCCAACGTTTTAGTCAATTTTTAGGAAATCTAAAGCAGGGAGACAGATTTGCATCATCCTCATAGTGCTCCCATCAGCAAATACACAACAGACTGCAGACCCTGCGTGCAGAAGGCAAGTCCAACCCAATGCTCTAAGGTCCCTAAAGAACTGGCTCATAGCTGTGCCACAGGTACAGACACATCCTTCTGATGCACTCAAAGAAACCAAGGGGGAACAATATCTGAGAAGCACTCCTGCAACTGCTCACTAACCTGCTTCAGTCAAAATAAAACCTGGGATTCAAACAAGCTCAGGTCGCTTGGTCTGAACAGATTAAAGAGCGACTGCCTGAGCAGCTCAGACAGTGGAGCCAAGTGTGATGCCTGCAGCTGCGGGAGGAGAGCTCATGTAATGACATCTCCAGTGCCTAATGCTTATGGAAGGAATCAGGTTTCCGTGTAAAAATACAGGTGAACTCTTTTCAGTGTAACATTGATGGCCAGGAAGTCTTTTTTTAAGAGTGGCAGACTGCTTTGGACCCAAGGGCCTGGTATCAAGAACAGCCAGACACTGAAATATTTTCCTGGTGCTACATGATCTCCATACCTTTAAAAATCCATGGGCTGAAATGCCTGACCTCCCAACTAGCAGTACTTCATATACAGTGGTACGTCATTTTAAAGCAAGCTTTTACACAGGGTTTGAAATAGGTGTCACTGTTCAAATCTGTACTAAGCTGGTGTTATTTAATTTGTATTGAAGCAAATCTGAAGTTAACAGCTTGACCAGTTTCCTTACTTTCCTGATCCTATTAATTTTACAGAGGACAAAATTCTCTTATTTAAGCAATCTGAAAAGAAAAAAAATATCAAGTTCCACATGAAGCTGGAATAACACATTTTGCCTACTAGGAAATACATCCTTATCAGAAATTGCAAAGCTTGATGGTTTCAGTAAGAGCTTAATCTGTACTTATATTTTAGAGTCCACGTGTTCATATGAAGCTTTCAGACATCTGGATTCCAGTTCAGGGTTTATTTGCATACAAAAATATATTATAATGGCAACAAGCATTAAAAGTTCTCAACTATATAAAATTACAAATATATTTTCATAAAAGCAACTTTAAATTAAAATTCAAGCTATATCTTAAAGCTAAATACAGTTGTAACACTTAAGTTATCTTATTCCATCTGCTGCAAGGTAACACTGATGTTGCCAGTTAAATACTTGTAGGACTTTACAAAGGTTATGTTCAGAAGGTATCTTGGGTAGCAAAGTTGTCACGCAAGGGCAGCAGTTCAGTGATCGATGTCACTTATCCTTCACAGGACATTCACTGGCAAGCACAGTGCTGAAGATTCATTTCACATAGCTGGAAATACAGAACAAGAAAGATCGTTAAGTTCTATATTCAGTAAGATGCTTGCTGTTGATCTACCAGACACTCTATCTACGCCCAGCTTGCTAGACTTCCTGACAGGCTAAAATTATACCTTTTTTCTAATTAACATGAAAGCCAAAATGTTAGCATGTAAAAATTTAAGGCAGTTACTTCTAACAAGTGCATTAGGCTTGAGAAGGCATCTGTTTCAAGTTCTGCATAACCTCCAGCATATAAATGCACCTCCTCAAAAACGTGATGATAAATATCAGATCAAAGTTGGACTTCTTCCTCAGAATTTCCCTGTATGGTAGCATATCACTGTAAAAAACAAACAATACTGAATAAATGAGACTCTGCTGACTCTGAAATCACCAGAGATTTCCTCAGTTGGGATGAATAAAAAATGAACAGCAAAACCCCAAAACCCAATACGGCAGATGGCAATCCTTGCCCTCATCTTTGAAGGGCTTTGCAAGGGGCCAATGAAAGCTCTATACTATAGGCAGACCCTTAGAAGTTAGCTGCAACACAGCTGCACCAGGTACAGCCACCTAAATATTTGCTGGTTTGGGCTTTCGTTGTTCTACACAAACCTAAAAAAACTCTTAAGTTGTTGTTTGGTTTGGTTTTTTTTCCAGAAGAGCAGTCAATATGGTTCCAGGGGTAAAGAGGGAATTAGTTCAAGCATACACCCACAACGGAAGTCAGGAAACTAGAAGTGTATCTTACTTAAGAGAAGTGAAACCAGGATTAAAAGTATGATGACTGGTAGGCAGGAAGCTCACACAGGCAGCTGCCTTGAGTTAAGCCCAAGGCAGATGGCCAAGGCTTCAAGAATTACAGGGAAGGGAAAACACCTAATGAAGACAAGAAATTGAGCTCATAGTTCATTGAGGGGAGTTTTGTTCATGCTGCTATTTAGGTCTGGTCCTACAGTTTGTTAGTTTGGGCTCAACAGTCTGGTTCCATGCAAAACAAAAAACAAACAAACAAAAACACAAAAAGAAAACCCCAACCAAACAAAAATAAATTAAAAAAACAACCAAAAAAACCCCACCATCACCAAACAACAAAACAGTATCACCCTTAAAAGCACAGGAAGAATAAGTAGAATATATGGTTGGAAAGAGTAGATTTTTTTAGGGTTTTGTTTTGCCTTTAATGAAGCGTCTAGTATGTAACTGGAACAGACAATTTCTAGATAGTGACAGAAAACGCAATCTAAATTCCATTCCTGGTAAAGGCAAGCACAAACAGAATTTTGACATCTAATCTAAGTCAACAGATACGAGATATCTGCTCCTTAATTCTTTTGCAAAGTGAAGTCTAGAATTAAAAAAAAAAAGTTTCCCTCACCTATGGTTACTCCTCCAATTACCTTTATAACAAAGAAACAAACCCTCACTTTTTAGCTGTTTTGAATATTTAAGACAGTGACATTTAAGACAGCAGGTAAGGCAGTGAGTGATGCAGCTGCCTCAGCAGTGGGGACAGGGGTTCACTGCAGTACAGCCTTTGTCACACAAGCTAAACTTCACGCCTCAAACATTAAGACAAAGACCAGAATTCAGTTTCTTTTACCTTCTTTCCCACATAATGAACCATAGGACTTGCAAACTGAAATGAAGCCATGTCACATAAAACTTATTGCTGCCCTTCCCTTCCCTGTGCCTCCATACATTGGCTTTCATCATGCTTTGATTACTAATAGAAAAAAAAAAAAATCTACTTACTTGCTAGTGTTCTGTCAAGATCAGCAATAAAGTCTTCCAGTTCTTTTGTGTCTCCAAGCTTTGCTGCAAAATAAATCAATATGGATTAGATGTGACATAATTCCCTGGCCAAAAAGAAACACTGGAATCACACAATCCCCAAATCATTTTCATTAAACATATTGTAGATTATTTTCAGGAAAGTTCAACAGCATTTGCTGCAACATCCAAATGCATTCTTTGGAAACAGGCGTGACTGAATATGAATTTTTACAGTTTTTCCATTTGACCAAAGCCATACTGTTTCCTTAAAAACCAGAGGCTGAAGTGGAGAAAAAAACCTGTACGTCAACAAATCCATGTCCTTGCTACTGTGGAAGCCTTCCTTATTGCATCTATTCAGACTTTGCATTCATGGCCCTCATCAAACCTCACCTAGTTAGCTCCCAGTCCTACCCAATTCTAAACCTTTTAAATCACATCAGTATTGCTGGTTTGCTGTGATGTCATCCGATTCTTTGATCTTGGTCCATACACTACAAATTTAGATCCAAACATTGATCTGAATTTTCACTCCTGAGAACACCACCAGTTCCATTCAATTTGGTTTTACTGCAAGTGGCTTCTTCACCTCATCGCCCCTGGTCTGTTCCAAGCTGGTTCCAACCCTATTTCTGTCTTTTTGCCTTCTCATCAGGAAGAGTATCTCAACCTTTAGGTGTAACTCCTTGCCAAGTATTTCCTGCCAGTTTAACCGAACTCTTTTTTTGCTACTTCTTAACTGTTACTTGTTATTCCTCCCTAGTATCACATCAATTAGAAAGCATTTCACTTGTTTTTTGGGGGCTGGCACTGTGTAAAAAAATATGATAGCATAAAAATCTCTCGAGCGTACATCTGAAAAGACCAGCTGTAACAAAAGCACCACGTAGTACGTAAGTAGGACTACTATTGATATGTCTTCTCCAGAGTTAATCTGAATGAAACAAGCTCCTGGGGAGTTAGATCAGCTGCAAGACAAGCCACTTTGATACAGCATGACTACAAAGGAGGAAGGAATTACTAACTCATGGGTTGTACCAGCAGTGCAAGGTCTAAGTAATTGTGTTAACTTGAATGGCAGCAGATGGCTTTGGAGGAGTCACCTGCTGCACCCCTATATTCAAGCTAAGCATTTCTGCATATAAGTGGGACACTTAAGCTACTTAATTGCTTCAGTAAGAAGTAACACAAGTTAATTCTTAAGGGAAGCACTCTGGAAGTAGTATCATGATTCCCCATCAACAAAAAAAAACAACGTTTTTTTCTTTAGCTCGGTGTTTTAAAACCTGAAGAGTTGCCAAGGCACCGGCAAAGCAGCGCCGACACAGTATGATGTTGGCCCTTATAAACAAGACAATAATACTTGAATCTGTAGCTTGCTCAACACTTAGTTTTGTTGTCGTTTAAAAAAAAAACAAGCCAGTCAATGCATGCACATGAAGCCTACGCAGTTGAGAATTAAGAAGAAATGCCAATAATTAAAATTAAGCGTACCTTTACATGGAGTTACTGATGGAGATGGCAAGCTTGGAGTAGATGCAGTTGGAGAATTTAGCTTTTCATCACTGAGGCTGAAACTATTTCTGTAGAGGGAATCTGCACCTGTAGAAAAGTGACATTATAAAGTAAAATTAACACCTTGTGCAATTTCGCAACAGAATTAAAACTAGAAATAGGGCCTTTCCCACATGAGCTTCCAAGTCCCCAGATCTCAAATTTACAGACTTCAAAAGCAGAGGGATAAATCACCTGTTGTGTGAAAGCTGTTGCTTCCACTCCTGCTGTTAAGCAGCAAGCAGTCCTCAGCCAGATCCTCACCCCCAGTAAGGAAAACCTCAGCTTTCCCTGCAGTCAGCTTCTTTTAGAAAACATTACGGGAATGGCAGTTATGCCACGTCCACTAAATCAGCCTGCTGTGACCTGCCTCACTGACAATACTCTGGGAAATTCTGTTTACCTGACTTTTTCAAAAGCTGTTAAAGAAACTGAATAAAGAACTCCAGGACAAGGACAGTCCTCTATAATGGAAAACATATTCAGCCTTGTTCTCAGGCCTGAAGCAAACTCAACTCATTTCTCCATACATTTCTCTGCTGCTTTACATCTTGTATTCTAGATAAATGGTATGGCATCTTTTAATTTTCTTTTTATTCTGTAACTCTGGAGTTCATGAAGCAGTGCATAGGTATGGAAGATGTCCTGCAACCTTATTTTAGGCAATCTTTCAAAGAAAGCTTTATATGCCCCAGAAAGTGACAGGAAAGGTTCCAACACCATTCTGATGTTTGTGGATTTTAGACAAAGTCTTAAGTTTCAAAAGTATCCAAAAAAATTATCTTGTCTCTTTTAAAAAAAACCATCATGCACAGTGCACACCAAGTACTAGTCACGGCTCCAGTGGAAAGAGGAATTGTCATTGTGTTAGAGACACTCAAAATGCTAGTTCCTGCAGTTTTGAGCCCGTGATCTGAAAACTGTAGTTCCACAAAAGAAACTATCGTGGTGTGAACATGTCTCCACTTATTTGGCAAGCTTCCTAGGAAATAAACATATGTCTAGTTATATGGGGTGCTGACTGCCACTGAGGCCAGCGATTTCACCTCCCGCTGGCACACGTAGCATTTGTCCTTGGAGACACTGCTGAGGAGGTGGTGACACAGCAGCATCAAATCCATCCAAGTCAGAATTGTCACGCTTCCTCTGATGCCTGTCCCACCTTGCTCTGTAAGGAGATGGTTGCCTTAGCTAAACTAGGGGTGTCTTGCTGAATTAGCAAAAGGGGACAGGAGCACAGCTCATCTTTCCAAGATCTGCACATCTACACCTCCACTGAACACTGCCCTGATGTTGGCAGATGTCAAACACAGAGACTATCCTCCAGCAGACCACTCCTCTACTCCAAGTTCCCCCATATCTGGAAAGAGCAGCATGTTTCCACGCCCCACCTCCTCTAGCCTGCTGTCCTTACCAGCACAAGCTGAAGTGAGTCCAAAGGAGGGCTACCAAGATGGTCAGAGGACTGGAGCACCCCTCCTACGAGGACAGGCTGAGAGAGTTAGGCCTGTTCAGTCTGGAAAAGTGAAGGCTCTGGGGAAGCCTTACAGCAGCCTTCCAGTACCTGAAGGGGGCCAACAAGAAGGCTGGGGAGGGACTTTTTACAAGGGACGAGGGTTAATGGGTGGAAGCTGGAAGAGCGGAAGTTTAGACTGGATATAAGGGAGAAGTTCTTTACCGTGACTGGAACAGGTTGCCCAGGGAGGCTGTGGATGCTCCATCCCTGGAAGTGTCCAAGGCCAGGCTGGATGGAGCATTGAGCAACCTGATCTAGTGGGAGATCTCCCTGCCACAGCAAGAGGATTGGAACTAGGTAATCTTTGAGGTCCCTTCCAACCTAAATCATTCTATAATTTTATGAAAATCATCTTCCACAGAGTACACTGGTACAGTGACAAATCAGACCAGATGACTGCATCTACTAAGCCTGCCAGATGTTTCCTCTGCCTGCCAAATAAGCCATCAGTTGGAGGGTTTTGTTGTTGTTGTTTGGGGTTTTTTCATTTGTTTGGGTTTTGTTTGGTTGGGTTTGGTGGATTTTTATTTTTTTTTTAGGAAGAGAGGTATGCTTCATCATGTCAGCTTTTTATCGTAATTTCTTCATCTTTGCATTTAAGTGCCTGCTCTCCTCGCTAAATCTGAGCACATCAAAACCAACCTACCTGAAAGCAGATTCAAGATCCACTTTTCAGGTATGAGAAAGACTTGATCAATACAATGCAGAATTGAGATAATTTGAAATAAAACAATGGAAAAAGTAGTTCCTAAAAAGGTAAAACACAGCCGGGGGTGGTGGGGCAGAGAATCTGACACCACTCTGCAGTGCCATGTGTCACCAGTGTTGTACTACACAACACAAACTCTGGGTATTAATGGACTGAAAGTAAGAGTTAAAGGTATGGCAAACTTCCTCCTGAAATCAGCTTACAGACCAACTTTCTACTAAAACCACAATGGCAGTTGAAAATACCATTTGCCTCACAATGTATTGAAACCAGAAAATGCTATTTCATACTGGCTTCCATAAGCCTTATGCCAGGAAATATTTACAACGGGGCAAGGAGAAGACAGAACTGTTGTTTTAAATATCTGAAAGTTTCCCTTCCACTTTCAAAAGGCAAAACGTTCTCACAAAACAGTGAGAACAGCTTCTGATGGGTTGTATTATTAAATGTTGACATTTTCCCGAAGCTGTTATCTTTCAAAAAGCAAAAACATGCTTTAACTACTGACTGTGGCTTACATGCCACCAAGCAGCAGAAATTCTGGTCAGGGGATGAGAAACACATCGACTTTGCCATCAAGGTCACTATAGCTGCTGAAAACAACATGCTGCTAAAAAAAAAAAAAAATAAACAAAAAACCTAGCCACAAAACTTGAGATATCCCTGGAATGAAAATATCAGCTGTGGCAAAGTGTGGCTGTAGGGCAGAAAACTCTGGGAAAAGGACACCTCAGTCCTTGCTCTCTACCAGCTGCAGCCAAGCTTTCCTCATTCCCCTCCAGTAACAGCCCTTGGGAGGTTTCCGCCGCTGCACGAACACAACAGCCCCTGCAACTCAATAACCAGAGGCCGATGCCAAGGATTTCTCATTGCCTCTGCCCTTCCTCATCCAGCCCCTTCTATCCCACGGGATGCAAGTTCATCTGTCACTCATTACTTATTTTTCCACTTTGTACTTTGATTCTACTGCCTGGGCGCATATGTAAACATTCACAATAAATAAATATGGGCAATAAGTAAAACACACTGTATAAATAAAAATAATAATAATTAAATAATAATAATATTATA